CCCCCCCCCCTGCTAGATCCAGCCCACGGAGGAGCTGGGCGTGCCCCCCTAGGATGCCCTGACCCCCCCCTGCTACATCCAGCCCACGGAGGAGCTGGGCGTGCCCCCCAGGCTGCCCTGACCCCCCCCCAGTGTGCCCTGTGCTCTTGGCGCTGTGCCCTTGAGCTGCACCTCCAGTTCTCTGAATGTTCTGGTCAGGTTCCAGGTTGGCTGGAATTGGCAGTCCTCTGCCCCAGCCTCTGTGCGCTGGGATTACAGGCCTGCGTCACCATGCCTGGCTCGGATGTGAAACGCTTCTCCCTGTGCCCCTAGGAGGAAGGCACCCGCAGCGGAGGACTGCGGGCCCCGGTCTCCACCTTCCGGGGTGCAGCCAGCCCCGTGGCGGGGGACGAGAGCCAGGTGTCAGAGCGGCTGGGCGCCAGCGTGGCCTCGGAGCCCCCCTCCGAGCCCCCTTCCAGTCTGGCTTACTCAGAGAACTTCGAGCGCTCCCTGAGCCCCAGTGTGTCCGAGCCCACACCCTCAGACACGTGGGGGACCCCCTCGGAGCTGTCCTGCAGCCCGAGTGCTGCGCCGCACCCCGGGCCGCGGCCGCGCCCCGTCAAGGAGGTGGCCGTGCAGACGCTGGAGCCGCTGGTGCCTGGCCTCGCCTACCAGTGGAGCCGGGGTAAGGGCTCGGGAGCCCCAACACTGGGACACTTCTAGAATCTGGCTTGGCCCAGCGCCCCCGGGAAGGCCTTGGGGCAGCCCTGGTTGTGATTGGTGGTGGGGGGGGGGGAGTGCACCCTGCTCCTCGGCCGGCCGCCTGACACCGCCTCCGGCCTGGGGAGCGCAGTGCTCAGGCCCTGGCCCCGGCCCCGGCCCCATTTCCTCAGCTCCAGAGGGACCTTCCGGAAGTTTATCTCCCCCCGCTGGCCTGGGCCCTGCCCTGCTTTGCCTGCCTCCTCTGCAGGCCTGCCCTGGGGAGGGTGACTGGCACTTGGTGGTTGAATTTGCACCAGAAAGTGCTAGATTGTGCATGTAACGTGTGCACACACACTATACATATACACATGTGTGTATATGCACACGTGTGTAGTGCGTGTGCATGTGCCGGTGCTAGGGCTTCATCTCGAGGCTGGGGTGCTGTGTCTGCATTTTCACTCAAGGCTGGCACTCTGCCACTTGAGCCACGGCACCACTTCCGGCTTTTTGCTGGTTCATTAGATACGACAAATCTGGCTTTCCTACCCAGATTGGGCTCCTGGGATCACAGGCGCGAGCCCCCGGCCGCCTAAGACAGGGCCTGTGTGGCCCAGGCTGTCCTCCACGGAGGCCCTGCCTCTGCCCCTGCGCGGCCGGGATTGTAGGTGTGCCGAGCAGGGCTGTGCAGACCGGGGCTGGCCGGGCCCAGGGGGCCCCGTCACCCCTGAGCACAGAGGCAGCCGCGTGGCCGCTTTGTCCCGCAGGGGCCGGGGAGGCGGTTGTGGGGCCGGGTCTGGGCAGCGCCTACCTGGACCCGGTGCCCATCGCTAGTCATGTGGTCAGTGCGGATGCCCTGGAAGGTAAGAGCCCGGCCCTTCCGGGGAGGCTGGCATGGGACCCCTGGGGGTGGGGTTACCCCTCCCCTTACCTGAGTCTGGATCCCCAACCTGCAGACTACTAGGGCGGGCCGAGAACCAAACTGCACACTGCCCAGGGGCGGCCCGCCCGCCCGCCCACCCACCACCGCCCCATCCGGTGGATGGCCCCGCCC